TGTTGTGGCACAGGAGCAGCTCCTGCCTGTGGGACTTCATTGGAACCTCCACCTCCACTGAACATTCCAGTCAATGCATGACCTACAGTGTGACCCTAAGGCAGATGTTCACAATTATCATATTCAAAGCTCTAAAAATCCAAAGTTCTAGAGTTCCACACTGCCTTAAATGTCATTTGGCACCCAGTATTTTATTGAGAATTGTTCCGAAGTTTCTCTACGAAAAATTTAAAATATAGGGTTTGGGGTGTCTGATAGTAAGGTAAGAACAATAAAAACTTCAATGTGAATCTGAAAGCACTGTTAATAATGAAACATTTTAAAAACTATTCAAGATTCTGCCTGAAACATAAATGCACATTTCAGCATGGCACATTACTATATACTGTACAGTACTGCAGTACTGTTATTGGCACCACTGTATAACTGGCAAATTGTCTGCTTCTTCAGATATGCTCAATACTGAATTACTTGTGTCACAATGCCTTTTCATTTCCTACAGGAGGGTAGACAAATACTCACTTTGTGCAAGAATTCTGTTACAGTAGTCACTGTGGAATACTGACAATTACTCCACAGGACTATTTCAAATTATTGTATGTGCTACTATGGACAGGTATCCAAAGGAGACTGGAACATTAAATTTAACATACAAATGTCATATTCCTCAGCAAGTCCAAGATAATGTGTTATAAAGAACACAACAAAGTGCTCATGTAAGTACTCAAAGAGTCTACACCTTGATATCCTTCCTTATGACTAATAAATTTATTTCAAGCATAACTAACCACAGCAGATCCGATAGCCACTCCTCCAGCTGTTGCAGCCATCTGTTTCAGCATACCAGGTGGCTGCTGATGTTGTACTACTTGTGGTGGTGGTGGTGGCGCAGCATTCTGAGGGACTGGTCGAGAATGTGTGCTAGATGTACGTGCCGGCACATTTGATGTCCTATATCATTAAAAATCAGAATATTTCAAAACAAACATGTGAGATGAAGTTTGATTACATTTGAGGTCCCAGCCAATTCACTGACTCTTTCTACTACATCTACAAATCAGGAATGTTAACAATTCAAACAGCTATAAGGGCAGGTTTTAAGCATATAAACTCATTCCTGGCTGAGTTTGGCTTATTTGACTAGTTTAGCTTAAATGGGTACTTTACAACCAGTGCTTATTTTTTAATATTTTAATTCGCTCTCATACACCATTGTGGAAAAATGTGAAGCACAAATAACACAATCTGAACTTTTACCCATTGTGTATTTTTATGGGGAGGGGGTTGATATCTAAAGTTCTAAAGTTGGGGTGTGGAGGACCTGCAGAGAAACTAGGTTCTTACACTGGCAAGTATGAATATGAGAGTCTTCTTGAACGTTATGCCATGCAGGGTAGAAGTTTATATACAGGAATACCTCAGAGATATTGCGGGTTCGGTTCCAGACCACCGCAATAAAGCGAGTAACGGATTTTTTGGTTTCCCATTGCATATAAAAGTTATGTTTACACTATACTGCAGTCTATTAACAGATATTATAATAATAATAATGAAAAGGTTTGAAATATTGCGAGAATTACCAAAATGTAACACAGAGACACGGAGTGAGCACATGCTGTTGGGAAAAAAAGGCGCAAATAGGCTTGCTCGACGCAAAGTTGCCGCAAACTTTCAATTTGTAAAAAAACTCAAAATCTGCGAAGCGCAATAAAGCGAAGCACAATAAAACGAGGTATGCCTGTACCTTTCCATGGCTTGCTCCTTCCATCATAAGGGCTATAGGATACATTTCACGAGACTGTCACATCCAATTCTTCCTAACCTATTATTGTTTGCAACAGTAAAAACCTAATTTTACAGGCTGACATGAGTACCAACCGTATCTAAATTGGCTTCTAGCGAGACAATTTCTTCCACAACGTATGCCATTCACGCAGCTTATATTTTACAAATTGGAAATTCAATCACCTACCAGTTGTTTCTGTTCTCTCTTAAACTATAATACACAAAATTACCCTCTATTACAAAATCAAGTCTCAATACTCTTGTGGAAAATGTTACCCAATACCCTACAATGGTTTCGTACTAACTGGGTTCAAACCCCTTACCTTGACGGTGGGCTACTTCTTCCGCGTCTTGGCATTATGTAGTAGCGGTGTAATAAATCTCAAATGCTACACCTGGAAACCAAAGCAATGTAAATCACAAATCTACAACGTAAAACACTTCTCCTGAGTATGCAAACGCTTCTACCTTCTCTTCTGCTGTCTTCTAGAAATAGGATGTGACGTTCATAGATGGTTACAAAACGTATCATGTGATTTACACAAAATATAAATTCTTCATTAACAAGTTTTATTTTATAAATCTTCTGGAAATAATCAATATAATACAATATACAATTTACGTACAATCTGCAACGTTTTCATTATTAACAACACTTCACCGGAAATGACTACATATGAAGGAAGTGGGGTATTGAAAATGTGTTCAACGACATCAAAATGTCCTTTAAAGGGGAAGTTCCAATCACAAGGAACAATACTATAAAAGATCAAATGACTTAAAATAAAAGTATAATGTAACTGTGCTGATCAATGTTATAAAAATCTAATTCAGTTCAAAGCCAATCTTTATTTTAATTGTAAAATATAGTCATCCCAACATTGAATGAGGAATCAGAATGTTGTTACAAAGGAATGTAAGAAACCCATCAGATTTACATCAAAACGCAGTTTATTGGACCACAGAACAACTAACGTTACTGTGGAAGAACTCGACTAACCCAACTGCAAAGAAGTCTTTATCTTACCATAACCAAACACACAGTTACACATATGGCAAATATTTTAGAGATGATGCAATTTCCTTCAGTTTCTCAATTCTTTAATATTATTGTGCTGTATCAACAGCCAGAAACCCAATTACAGATACAGCACAATACATTGTAAAGTAATAAAACTCATAACAAAGTGACAACATGTCCAGGACAACCTGGATGCTAAGAAAATGTCTTATTAATTTTTATACATGTCCTATCTATTAAGTGCAAGAAGAGAATCTAATTTTACTACTTCCACTGCATGAGTTGCAGCAAAGGATTAAACAGTGAAAGGTAAATCCCCATGCATAACCATGTCAAGAAGGCAAATGCTAGTAGAGTACCTTCATTTATGCCATGACTTCTTCCTTCTACATCCTTCCCAATTTGTTATCATGCTCTCATTCAACACTATACAGTCTGTGCTACTGAAAAAGTGTCATAAAATAAATAAAGCAGGGGAGTGGAATTAAGGTTTCACACATTCTTAACCTTGACACCAGTTTGATGTGAATCCTTCGATTCTCAACCTGAGTAGTTTGACAAGAGCCCCAGAACCTGCTAGACAGGTGGCAAAACAACAAATTCTAAACTTTCTGAAAACTGAACCTAGTCTTCCAGCCTGTGGCCAGCCTCTTTAATTTGTTATTACAGTTCTGAAGGATACATCAAAATAGCTTTAATGTTCAATGGAGCTCTACTTGGCATGTTGTTGCACAAACAAGTGTTAAATACTAGTACATATCTACCCCTCTGACCACTTTCAGTGCAGAATTCATGTTCTATGATGACAACCACCAGCTACTCTCACAAAATACATGCAAAAATGTTTTTTGCAACAGATTAATGAATGCAATTTTTTTCTCTCATATTTATGAACACTTCAGTTTCTGTGAGATTGTAAGCAACATGTGGCTGGTGTTTAAAATTCAAGTCTTTTTTTCATTATGAAGAACAAAGGGATACATCTTGTAGATACATTTCTCAATGCATTAAATTATATATTTATCTCCTACTTAATAATGTGGTTTTCCTTGATCTCTCTAGGTAAAGACCAGTGTAGGCCACTGAATCAGGCTATGAATGCCTCCTTCTAAGTGCTTACCAGACATGACCATCTACCCATTTCATATGAAGAGTGACTAAAAACAGAGAAATTCCTGACAATGAACAGGACAAATAGTGCTCTGGTAAATGTTCATACTTGGGTATTGGAACAAAGCACTCCATGAATCTAAATGTAATACAGTTGGCTATAATCTGTATATAATTTAAGGATATGCAAAAATAATAACCTAAGAACATCAAAGTGTGCATAAGCATTTTATTCTTGGTACCATTCAATATCAAATGGTAAAAAGTGTTAGTAATGAAGACAGAACAGTATACTTAATTACAAATTCACCACACCAAAGTTTAAACATCACTGTAACTATATGATACATGTAAATGGCATAAAAAGAAAATGCACTGAATAAAATATCTTAACATTCTGTTCACTGATCTGCAGCATACACAACACATAATGACAGTAAAAGTAGTAACAGCTGCTGTTCCATGTACGATGGAACCTAAGAAATATATCAATAATGAATTGGCATTACCTGAGGCCACCACGGCCTCTACGTCCCCTTGCTTCCCTCCCCACATTTCCACCTCTTTTCGTGCCTCTACCATTATTTGTTCCCTTTAACCTCCCACCTGTCATTGCTCCATATTGTGAATAAAGGTTGGGTGGTGGCCCAAATGCTGCAGCACCAACCAGTCCACGTGTGAGACCTGCCCTATAAGCCATTTCCTCTCTTTCCAACATGGCAGCAGCTGTGGCAGCAGGTGAGCCCATCAGTAAGCCATCTCCCATCCCAAAAGAACCCGTAGGACGGCGAATACCTAGTGAGCGTGGGGAGAATGACGAATCGATTGCATCTTCCACATCACGGCGGAAATCAGAGTATCGACTCAAAGTCAGTTCATCTGATGAAAAATCAAAACGTTGTGGACGACGAGGTGCATATGTTTCCATCACTGGAGGAAAATATCCCCTCTCCATGAGAGGGGATGGCCCATATCCATCCATGTATAAATCCCTTGTGCGAGAACGGACTGGTGCTCGAGAGAAATCTCTCACTGTTGGTCCTATCTGAGGTGGACCCATATACCCCATACGTTGTGGCATGAGAGGTGGGGCTCTCATGTTGCCCATAAGCATACCCATTCCTCTGCCTCTTGCTCCACCCCTTACTGCCCGTGGTACAGGCCCAGCTAATGGCATGCCCCCACGCATTCTTGAGCTCATACTGCCATGCCCCCTGATCATCATATTACTCCCTTTCATTCCTCTTCCTGTTCTGCCCCTGGTACTTTTCCGGGAGGCACTACGGGGAACAGGATTCTTTGCTTTTGGCAGTTTACTAGGATCCACCCTTTCCAACAAAATAACCATCTGAGAATGCATGGTATGTGGGGCCACATCTACTGGTATGATTCGCATTGGAACAAAAGGGTGACCAGTCATGGTGCTTTTTCCTTCAGGGCAACACAGATCAAGAAAGTTTCTGATAGGGGCCTTGTGGTTGGAGCACACATACACTAACTTCTGAACATTGTCCATCTTCCGCAGATGTGAAAGAACTTTCTGATCTAAAATAAAAAAAGATAAGTGGTTAAATGTCTATATCAACTAGTGGAAGAAAGTAACAAGCTCACAGACAGTTTGTTTACATATGTTGTACAATCTTTCAATATTTATAGAAATAATTGCATAATAAAAATTACAAAACCATACTCACTTTTATTAATTAATTTATTATGGATCAAAAAGAATGTAAGGAATTTGTAGGATACTGACAATAATAATGATTTCTTCAATTGTTGCATGATTATAAACAATGACAAATTTAAATGGCCTCCATAACAAGGTTTTAATATCAATGCAGGAAGGTTCTGCAACCCAGAAGACAGCCATCTTCATATAAATTCTATTTCTCCAACTCAAGCTAGGAAAAGTGTAAATTCAGTTTTCTGGGATAAGCTGGGTTGAAAATTTTTCATTGTTTTAGCAAACATTAAGGTGACCACATCACAACTGCAGTGTTTGCTGAAAAATTGAATAATTCTCAACATACAATGCCATTAATCCCCAAAAGCCAAAGTTGCACAAAAACTTAAAGAATTCATAAAAAGTTGATAGTTTTATATTTTGGAGCACAATGATTAAAAAACATTTCCATGATTTTATGTGCATCACTTTCTCTTTTCATGCACCATTTTGGTACACACCACCTACTATGGGAACCACTGACTAAGTAGTCATTACAAACGAAAATTACTTACTCAAACCTGTTCTTGGTGGATCCAAGATGGGTACAACAATTTTGCCTGTGATTTTCTCTGACAAATTTGAAAGAACATCTTCCACACGACCAGCAATAAATTCACAGTTTGTTATTTCATTTTTTGCAGCATTGATTTTTGCATCTTCCACATTCTGCTCCAAATATTCCACTCCAAACACCTGACCACATTTCTGGTGAGGAAAAAAATTATGGAACCTCATACAAAATTATGTAATGACAGTGCCCTCTATTTCCCTAAGATTCATTAAAGGAAGTCCTAAAAAAAGGTGCATTTCTGCGCTGCTTATGGAAAAATAAAATTAAACTTGTGTGAGATGTTTGTATATAGTAGTGCTGAAGATAAGCAAATTATGTATGTCACTGCAAGGTCACTACCTAAACCTTATTTGATAATTAACAGTAAAGATACATATTAGTACTTGTTTGGCAAAGAGATATTGAACACAAGAAGTGATATAACACAAGCATTAAGCAAAGACTCCCTGAAAGATAGGAATGAACTGTTTCAAAACAGAACGTAACTGCTAAGTAAACTAACTCTCTAGTAGTAGAAACTGGAGATTCAACCCACTAACACAAAACCTGCCACTGGTCATGTTTATGTTTATTACATGCAATCCCCAGCAAATGGCTGCTGATAAAGGTTTCCTCTCTGAATATGTGTTTTCCTATCTTGTTTTCCCTATCCAAGCTACGTTTCCATTCCTTCAAACTGTCTATATATTGCGCAAATTACAAATTGTTTGTATACTTCTCTCAGAGTTAAGACATGACACTTCATGATACAAAGCAAGTGGTTAAGATTTGTCAAAATATCAAGCACATCAATGTTACTTAAAAATTCTAAAGATACAAATTCACAGTTATTATGCACAGTATGCCTGCCTTATATATCTGTTTGCTTCATTACTCACCTTGGCTATACAAAGACCAATTCCACCAGTGCCACAACAAAGGTCAAGTACTGTTGTATCTTCAGTTGGCTCTACCAGATCAATAATGGCAGAATACAACACTTCAGCCCCTTTGGTATTAACTTGGAAATAAGATGAAGGTGAGAGCTGGAATGTCAAGTCCAATATATCTTCTTCTAAGTGGGTTTTCCCATATAAATGTTCCATTTGAGGCAAAGGAACACCCACAAGCCTATGGAAGTTACAAACCAATAAATTAGTATATGCATAAAAATACATGTAAGATCTGAAAACAGAAATAATACATGAATGAACAGTTAAAACAGAAGGAATGTTATTCCACCGAAATGATAAAAAAATTAAAACATTTACTAACTAACCAAATCAAAATGTGCCAACATTATACTGTAATGTGTCTCTTTATATACTACATTAATTAATTTTTTAAATAATTTTGTTTGAAATGTTAATCATAATGATAAGTTGATTGTCAATTTAATACAGCAAGTGTAGTTTTAGTGGTTGAGTAAACATGGACTCTTCAGGACATGGCTGAGTTATGTCATGACCATTAATATATTGAGCCCTTGCCATTTTTGAAATATAATAAAAAAATACTGAAAGGTTAATATAATTATTCATTCATTGAATTTTATATATAGCCAGGTTAATGACAAGAATAGGATATAAGAGTATCAAACTTGTTTGCTTTGAGCTATTGAGTAAAAATACTGAAAACAAGTAAACAACCATACCATCTATGCTTATATCTTCTAAGTGGTCACTTCCCTTCAACCTTTCCAAACAAAATTTTGTATGCATTTTTATCTTACCATTCATGCTCTGTCCATCTCACCCCCTTGATTTGATCATCCTAATAATTACTTGGTGAATAGTACAAATTAACAATCACTTTCTCAACTACCCTCTTCAAATGTAAATTTTGTTGGAAACAAATATTAAATATAAGAGAATATTCTTCAGTATGAATGCAACTATTCTTGAACAGACAAAAATAAACAAATAAATGTTGGTCTTCTGGGTTGTAATGTCATGTGTATCTGTAGGTATGTATTTAAATATAAGTCCACGCAGTATTACACAGTACTGAATTATAGGATAATTAATTAACTAACAATAAACTGGAAAGGATGTAGAACGAAGCAGCCACGGCCTAATTAATATACTACCTTGGCACTTGCCTGGAGGAAATCAGGGAAATTATTGTCATACTATAACAATATGTTACACATGGATAACAAAGAATTCCTTTGAAATCTGAATAAACAGCTGCTGGTAACATAAAAACAAGATGGAGAGGCCAAGCAGGGATGATACACAAAAGAGACTACACAAAAAGTAGGCCCATACCCAAAAAAGCACTGAAGGTAGAAAAAAATGCAGAAGGTTTCATCAGTAGACAATTTACACTGGTTGAAACATCACTGAATGACTACATCAATTAGACATTCTACTATTAATGACTATGTAACATCTATACCTACTTTTCTGTGAACTGCTGGAAGTACAGGGATGAAATATTGCAAACCTTTCCAGCTCCTTTGACAAAGTAATCCTTCAGATCATTTTTCAGTCTCATCAGTTCATCTTCAGTGAGAAATTGAGGGTGAGCCACCACCACTACCATCAACTCATTACTTGATGTCATACGCACCACCAGGTGTCTCCAGTACCCTTCACCCTTCTCTGCTATGAAGGGTGGCTTGTCTGATTTACGTACATAATCTTGAAACAACTGTACAGGTCATCACATAATCAGATTAACACAATGAATTTAAAATGACCTAGATTTTGTTTTCCTTAAAGGATACTGGTTTAATACCTAATTTGTTTTTATTCAAGACATTACATTTCAAAAATCAGTAACAGAAAATTTAGACAAAAAAGATAGATACTCAACAAGAAAATAAATATGCACATTTCTCTATAAATCACAATTATACTGGTCCAATGAGGTACTGAAAAAGTATCATTAAATAAACTATAAATAAATAATAAATATACTGGTCCAAGTACAGGTTGCACTCCCCACTCTCCCAACTTAGCATTTATAGTGTAGCCATGAAAAAATTTTCAACAGACTAGCCAAAAAGATTTTAGTAGAAAATGTTTGTTATAGAAGTGGGAAAATTAGTTTAACTTTCAACCACCTAAACATAATTTTATCATGGTGGTCCTTCTATTTTTATTATTTGATATTCATTTACTCGGTTACACAACTCACATAATAAATATTTTTCTATGTGGGATCATTTTCAAAGTAGCCTGCACAATAAATATAATGCAAAAGTTGAAATTAAATTTGTTTATATACTTGCAATATGTTTTACAAAAGTGTTGTCAATTAATATTTTATTAGAATAAACTATGGGAAATTATGAATATATAAAACTCAAATGCCTACTACTCTGTTCAATCCAATGACGACAGTCGCAGTCCACTTCCCCCGCCCCCAAAAGACCTACATGGCGTGTAGTGGGAGAGCTTTAATAATAACATTCTATAACAATTACAAACGTAAGCAACAACAAAATTCTGATTGAATTAGAATTTAATCAACCATCTGTACACAAGTCCAACATGCTGATCCATGAGCTAGTTTTTATTTTATTGTCCAGACATAAATTTACATTACCTGAATATGACATCAATGGAATACAGACACTAAAAGTTTTACCTGCAATTCAAAGGATGCCTACAGAAGAAAGTTCAGGGTTAACAATCTGAAGAAGTGATTACAGCACATAAAAATGTTTTATCAGTAACCTGTGGTAAAATTTAATTGTTAATAAGCATGCCTTGGACATAGAGACATGGATTTGTCTGCCACATGGACCGCAAGAGCTTCCAGAATTTTGAACGTCCAGACATATCTACACAAACTGACCATACACATGAAGACATATTAATGGGAGACCTTTATAGGACAATTCTGAGGTTCAAATAGTACAGTAAAAGTGCATGTTAGTGGGTGCTGGAAAGATTTATCTGTGAAGTCTGATATGCTGAGTTTTCTGTGGCAAATCAGAAATATGGATAAATCTGTATGTTCTGGTATTTTAACACAAGATCTGTTGCATATAATGTCTATGCAATATTAAAGCAGGCTTTATGAGTTGTATCTGTAACTGCTTAGTTACCTTTACATCTTCAAACGATTCAGCTTCTGGGAGTGCCTGCACTTGGCCAATATCACAAATTGATATGTATATAACTTTATTTTCTGTTGCTACCATTAAATTTGAAATACTCTATACTTTACAACAAATCAATTTAAACAATAAAGATGATAAAATGTATATACATTACCAAACAGCACCTGAATACTAAATGATGGGGTTTTAGCTACAATAGGGCCTATTAATTCAGAATACAGAGAAGCAGACCAGTTTCAAAATTTAAATGTTTTGTCTGGGCTGGTTGCATGCTTTTAAGCCAATCCCAAACAATTAGCCAATGTTAAGCTGTGAGCATTCCATTGCACGGATTTGGACAGCAATACTGGACTTAGAGCTTCTGTCCCAATTTAGTGATAAACAGCAATACCAACATTGCAAGGGGAGAACAAATAAAAACAGTCCTTCCCGTTTAAGTTACAAAGTGAGACCGTCACCGTGCAACGTCTCTAAATAACGGAATCACGGCTGTGGTTCTTGATAATTGCCTACCTTCACAGCCTCTCTCATTTGATCAGGCAAATGTTTTAGAGAATCTGCCGGTCCAACCCCAATAGAGCCATCCTTGTAGTTCTCCAGACGGCAACCCACTGTGCGCTCTTGCGTGTCAGGGTTTAGTCCTAGACCGTGACAGTGTAAGCAACCACGTAGTATAAAACTACAGTTATCAGCTACTGAGCAAGCGGCTCAGCCGACAACTTGGCTAGACCGGACTTGGGTAAATCAGGAGAATCAGTAAATACAGAACAACATTGAAATCATGAAGGATACAACATTACCATTCTGTGCTTACATATATGTTACAAAGCACAAATAGATAATGACTGAAAAATAGCCTTTCAATTCATAATTTAAAGGCCACATGAATGAGACCTCTGTCGTATGAACAAGTTTCAAAATATTAGATTGTGCTCAAAGTTCAATTAACATTTCTCACCCATAACTGGGTACTTTTGGAAAAGGCTAATTGTATTAAAAATTAGCATGCTTCTTCAAACAGAACTATTCTGTCGTTTTATCAAATGTGGCTCTGTTCACTTTCCAGTGTACAGATACTTCATCTGTACTATGAAAGGAGCTAAACTCTTCAACACATGCGTAATATACAAATGTTCAGTTACTTTCCCAAGAACATTAGGTTCAGATGAAGGAATGCCCACTGAGAACCTTTACCTAATTCTAAGGGCTGTTGGAAATATATTCTAAATAAATTGTGTAAATCCATCAAAAGTCTCCATCTACATTACATATGAAGCTTGCTCACCGATTCTGAATTCGCATTTATTACGATATGCATCAATAACAGGCGATGGTCTAATGTCATCCAACTGGAATGCCAAACCATCATATTTCTCACGTTGTTGTTCAGCCCACCCAGCTAGATCTGGATTGCGACGTACCACCAAATCTCCCAAGCGAGACACCATTGCCTTTAGCTCCTCAGTCTTCTTCTTCAACTGAAAATGAAATGTGCTTATATATAAACATCATCAGCAGCAGCAGCAACTGGCATCTTAGATGACTGTGGGACATTTGTTTATGGTTGGAAAAAGTCACTGCATAAAAAAGTAAATATTCTAGACACTACAGCTGTACAGTAATACTGTAACTGATTCAATGCATTTACTTAACAACTTTTACTTAGTATGATGTGAAGCTTTCATGATGGATGTCATTAATAAAATCTTCTCGGGCCAGCAGCAATGTCACTTGGTCAAACTCTGCTGACGTTTCGAGGGCCATCTCTGTCCTCATGTTCAAGGCTAGTCATCTATGACTAGCCTTGAAAATGGCCCTTGAAATGTCGGTAGAGTTTGACCAAGTGATGCGGCAGCTGGCCCAAGAAGATTTTATTAACTTTTACTTAATTTTATGTAAGTATTTTGTGAACAGAAAATCAAGTTTTATGGCAGTGGGATTTCTATTTATTAATTAGTAAATATATCAGTTAATAGAACATAAGTACACACTGTTACAAAAGATAAAGACCACTTTATAGGAACTTAATAATAAACGTGCCATTTGAAATCTGAACGAGAGTCAGTTGAGTTGTTATCAAATCATACAGAATATGAGCTAATGTACAAAGTTGCTCATGCATTAAGAAATTCTCAGGGTAAAAAATAAATAATTATAATAAATTATAGCATAAAGTAAACAGATTAAATACAGAAAATCAATAAATTGTTTGAAGCCAAGTTTTATGAACTGCATTTTAAAAATTAATGGCATGGAAGTTGTATATCTTAATTGCAACACTTCTGCTTACTAAACCTCACATAGTTCCTACCTGTTCTTCATATGGAATGTTATGGTAAGGAATGGTAACCATCAACACTCGCTCATCCACTGACAAATCCAATTTGGCCTTTTTTGCATCACTATCATCTCCAGTACCCTCCTCCGGCTTGCGTTTTTGAGCATCAGTTGTCAATATCTGGTTAAGAGAAAAGAATGATATTGATAACATAATCTTTCAACTTTTACATGCTGTTCTGTATGGGTGTGAAACTTGGTCTCTCACATTACGGGGATAACATATATTGAGGGTGTTTGCACACAGGTGCTGAGGAGAATATATGGAACTAAGACAGATCAAGTGACAGGGGACTAAACAATTATGCAATGAGGAGCTGAATAGTGTGTAATCTTCTCAAAAAATTATTATCATAATCAAACCAAGGTGGGTGCAACATGCAGTACACATGGGTGACATGAGAAATACATACACAGCTTCACAGAAATTCCAACTGGTTTTCTCCTATTCACAGCATGTTCAGTTTTCCCAGTAGTTTAGGACTGGGTAAGTTTTGAAATTATACTCTTCAACTGTATTTATATGAGGGTGGACCGAGATATAATTGAGGAGATAGAGAAAAGACAACTGATTTGGTACGGACACGTGCAAAGGATGGAGGAGGAAAGGTTACCAAAAAGACTATGGAATGGTAACCAAAAGAGAGAAGGAAGACGGGAAGACTGAGACCAGGATGGAATGACAGAATTACAAGAACCATGATAGAGTGGAAACTACCTCCGAAAGGATGGGAAAATAGAGAAGAATGGAAGAAATTATTAGGCACCGGAAGACCGAAGTAATGGTCAAGAAACGGAAGAAGAAGAAGAAGAACTGTATTTATAAAAACAAATTTGAGGCTATCAACCCAACCAAAATGTTAAACTTACATTGCAAGTTAATGTTTTCTTCCTCCATGTATATTTGTGAAGGGCCTTCATTGCTTTCTGCTGCTCTTCTGCAGTTCCAAATGTTAAATGGAGCCATGGATTACCTCTTTTAGGTGACCGGATGTAGCTGAGTGCCAAACCAAGCTCTTCCTTCACCAGTCTTTTAAATTCCTGTAATGAGAATGTTACTCATGGAGTGATTGATTCCAAACATTTGTAATGCTATATCAACCACATAAGTTACGAAACACAAAATGAGAGATGATTAGGATAGAAAAGTTATTCATCAAACTCTCCTGAGACTCAACTATTTCTTGAAAGCAAGTTATGAAAGATGTCACAGAAGGAATGAAGGGCGAATAAGAGGAAGAAACTGAAGATGAACTGTGGGAAGACACAGATAAAGATCCTTGGTTGCCAGATGACTAACTGTGGTGATACCTAGGTAATATGTGGTTTTTCAAGGACTAAGGACTTCAAATTCTTGGTCAAAGTGCTACAGATAATTTATCACGTGTGAAATTAATAAAATATTACTTGTTCTAATTTTACTCACCCCCAGTGGATAGAATCTCGGCAAACCACTAACTTTTACTTTAAAAATCCCAGATTTTGATTGTCCCTTCTCTTCACCATTAACTTTTTCGTCGCCATTCATGGTTGCATCTTCGGGCTCTTGTTGCAACTCCTCCCGATCTCCGTCACCGTCTACCTCCATTTCGTCCTGCTGAGGTGGTGTTTCATTAGTCACCTTGGAACTCATATCTTATATTTTATCCACACGTAAATCTGAAAAAGAAGAGTATTTGCTTCCTATTATATATGAAATTAATCAATAATACCAATGGCCTCGGCCATACATTAACTAGGTTAGGTTTTGACAGCAATGCCAGTCTCTTTGTCATTCAGAAGCCGGCAGGCTTTACACCTAAATGTACACATCTAAATACTAGTATAAGTAGCAGAAGTTATACATAAACATTACATTAACATATCCATATGTCTGTATGAGTATTGTTTAAATGCATAAAAAAATTTCTTTTACATTTGAATTAACACTTTCCGCCTCTAACACCTCAACTATGGACTTTACAAACACTACCGCCCCCACCCTCTGCAATTGGAGCGCTGATGTCTGAAACGGATCTGAAATGAGCCACAGATATCGATCTGAATAAAAATTGAATTTCTATAGAAATTACTCTTAAGATTACTCATGGAAATACAGTGTAATTTATTATATTAAAAGACACAAAAGTTTATAAATATTAATTTAATGGCTGAATACAATTTCTTCTTCTTCTTCTTGCCAGTATATTGGTTTTTAAGCAAACATCGTGCGCATGCGCACAAGAACATTATTCATTTCAAGTTTGGCGCTCGTGTTGTGAAGAAGTACGAAGAACAAACAGCGAAAGCAGCAAAACACACGGAGTATATATGTGCAGTATTGTGATAATGGTGTTCTTTGCAATATTAGGAGGTTACGTCCTCACATCAGTTTTCTTTTTCAAATATCCGAATTTGATACACAAAAGAAAACAACTAAAATTTAAATGTCGCCATATAAGTCACCGCGGTGGTGAGTCATGGTTATAAACATAAATGTAAATACTGCAAAACATGACATGTATTACGCCAAAGCATCTCAGGATTGCAGCATTAAGAGAGTTAGTGATGTAAGGCAATTGTTAAAATTATACAGAACAGTATTCGGGATAAAGGCACCTAGTCAAAATACCAAGAAATCTATTTGGAGTTTTGATTTAGTAGTTGTTATTCTCATTGCAGGAGCTGGAGAAAACTATGAAAATACCATGACAGCATTTCAGCGGTATGTAATTTTCAGTTTAATGCTTTTGAATTATCATACAAATACTCTTCAGTGTGCAACATTTCCAGAACTTGTACACACAAGAGCTATCATAAAATTTTGTACCACTGTTGCATGCATGATTTGTTGAACAGGTATCTATTGGGACTGAGATGGTCAAAATGGATGGCAGGCAGTTGACCAGACACCTTGAATAACAGGAGTTGTTAATAATATGTTACACAGCCAATACCCCTTGATCATGAATTATTATAAGAATTTCTGAAACTATATCTCCATTCAGTTGACTAGGATTCTGCAGCTACTACAATTTTGCCTGCTTCCTTTTCTCTAATAATTTTTATCACTGTCAAACCGTTATTTATGCTGCTTTAACTCATAATGACCGAGTCTTTCTATAGCTGAAATTGTTACATTCTTTCAAATATTTTCCCAAGCCCTATTGGTGTCCACATTATTATCCTAAGTTCTGCATGATTTAACTTCTTCATATAAAATCTCTGCATAGGAAACTTTTGTGTTGCTAGTTTACTTATCAATAGTCTCTCCCTAAGTTCTGCAGCCACCAAATAGTGATTAATATTGAAGTCAGCCTTTCTAAAAGATTGGACATCATGTAAGTATACCTGATTGTCATCTTCCATTTGTCTTTCCATCAGGTTAAATTAAATTGTATTTATGAATTTTAACAATCATATGTTTCAGCATGGTGAAGTTTACTATTATAGTCCTATTATTGTGACTAATGTCACATAAATCCTCTTGTCCAGTTATGATATGCTCGCAGAGTCCCATAATATTTTGAATAGGTGGAAGAATTATTTTTGTCAGATGTTTAATGCACATGGGGTCAGTGATGTTATACAAACAAGGACTGATCCATTAATACCTGAATGTAGCCCCTTTGAAACAGAGATTACTATTAAGAAGTTGAGATGATATGAATTGCCAATTTCTGGCAGAACTGATCCAAGTAGTAGGCAGTTCATTGTATTTTGAAGTCCACAGACTTATTAATTTTATTTAAAATTAGGAGGAATTATCAGAGCAGTGGAATGAATCTAATGTTGTACCTCTTTATAAAGAAGGTGATACAACTGACTGTAGTGGTCATTAAGGAATATCACCAATACAAACTTCATACAGAATTGTATCCAACATTCTTCTGTCAATTCCAGAAGAAATTATGGGGTATTATGATTGTAGATTTTAGTTTAATGAATACACTATTGATCAGATATTTTGTATTCATCAAATACTGAAGAGAGAATGGGAGTACAATGGGACAATACATCTGAGATTTATAGATTTCAAGAAAGCCTTTTAGGAGTTAGGAGGAACATATTATACAATATTCTCATTGGTATACTCATGTAATTATTTATTACCAGCTTCATCTGTAGCTCTACATCCCAACGTCGGTCTTGGCCGCCTCTTTTGTAAGTTACTTTATCTGTAGGACTTCGTGGACGAGTTATCAGCCCATCCTGTACACAGGACAGCACAACACAGAAGGATGCAGATAAACATCCATGCCTTGAGTGGGATTTGAACCCACAGTCCCAGTGTCCAAGCATACAAGGCCCACACCTTAAGACTGTGTGGCCACTGTGACCCATATATTTTCTTAGGCTTATTAAAATGTATTTAAACAACAACCTATAGTAAGATCAGTATATGTAAAGATTTCTCTGCACCAGGCATACATTTTTCCACTCTTGTTATTATGGTTAATGTATACTGAAACTATGTAGAATTTAATAAGCATTATATTTTTATTTCAGTGCTCTAGCGCTTGGGACAGATATGTTGGAACTTGACTGCCATCTAACAAGGGATGGGCGTGTTGTTGTTTCCCATGATCACAATCTAATGAGGAGTACTGGTTTAGACTGTGACATTTCGCAACTTGACTATCAAGATATGCCTCTTCTAAAGCCTGAACTTCCTCTTGACTTTGATCCTGGTAATAATAATATTTTTGAATATTTATTTTTCTGTAATTTTTGTTGTGATACGTTTCAATTATCATATGTTTATAAAATCCAAGTAAATGGTATTCTGGAGTTAAGCAAATAATTAATAAACAAGTAAGTAAAGTAGTAAAATTTAAACAAAATTTGTATGACAAAGGACATTGTAGCTCAGTATAGTGACTGGCTATGGACTGGATAACTGGGGTTTGATCCACGACACAGGCAGAGGATGTGGGACATCTTTACTTTACTTTAAAGGACTGTATAGGACAAGTTGAGAATTTACACTTTTCTGTGGAGAAAGTGAGAATTGTAATTCATTTTTTGTTATAAATTGTAGTTATCCCCATTCCAAACCACCAAAATGCTTGTGATGCATTCTTAGCACTAGATGAAGGTCAGCTGTCATTAACATGCTTTACCTCTATGGAAAGAGCTGTGGTAACCATTGGATAATGATTGATGGGGTTTAAATTCATTCTGTCACTAAGGTTATAAAGGAATGTCAAAAGTAAAGCTGTCTCATTACATGCCATGGAGATGCTTGTGGGGAAAAGAGGTACTTCTGTTTCTTCTGACTTTGGCACACTAGATGGTTAGTATCATGCCCTGGCCATGCTGTACCCCAAGCGAAGGGACCCATGGTACCCACTGGATAGAAGAAGTCTGGGTTTGCCCCAGAGCCAGTCTGGATGCAGAGACTAGAAGGAAGCTCCTTTGACCCTGCTAGGAATCAAATCCCACTCATCCAGTCGATAGTCACACACTATACTGACTAAGCTACTCCAACTCCTAAAGAACTGTTTTCATACATTCCATGATGTATGGTTCAACTACTATGAATTTGTCTTCTTCAGTTAGTCAATAACATTTTCTCTGCACCTGATGTAATATTAATACCACAATGAGATGGTCATTGGAACCTTGTTTATGAAAACAGAATGCACTTCTTAAAGGGCAGTTAAGAGAGGTTTTGAAAGGTTTGTCTGTCTCCTTATACTTCATCTCTCCCTGAACTATTTTCCCTTAATTCAGAAGTTTAACACAATTATTCTGAGTTTGATTATGGGAATGATGTATATGTTTGTGTATATACACACACGCGCGCGCGCACACACACGCATGCGCTGGATGGGTGTGGACTGGGTTAGTGTTGCTCTCTGGCTCAGAGATCAGTGGTGATCCTATGTGAACACTGTAATGAATTTTAGAGTTTTAAGGGATGCATCCTGTTATGTGTTGATTGTTGGGTTGACAGTCCATCTACACAACAATTTATGGTTTCAATGTTTTTATTAAAATCCACTGCATGTTTTGATCTCCATTGGTAATTGTCAGGTGGTTCTGTTTCTGAAATTAATAGATATGACTGTTAAATTGTATATGTATTTTCTGTTGCTGACTTCACCACTTAATGGAATCTGTCTAAGTAGCTTACCAATTTATGTATTGTGGACAGTGTAGATGTAGTTACTGGTGGAAAGCTGTAGTTGAATTGGAGTTCAACTACAGCTGTTATTCATTCACACTTTTTGCAGATTTTTATTATTGTGTAGCCTAAGATTATTTGCTGATTTATATTAATGCTTTGGAACAATGTATTCAGAAATAAAATACAGCTATCCTGGTATGTGAAGATTTCATCTGTGGAAAGTAACATATTAATTTCCATGCTGTGCATTGCATTAAGTATGTAAGAAATAGGAAGTTCTGGGAAGTTACCTTGGAAGTATTACTTTTGAAAAATACCAGAGAGAAGTGGAAGAAAAGGTACAGGAACTGTAGGCACATAATTGAAATGTATGGAGCAAAGTTCTTGATTCTCAGTAATTACTATAGTACAATGTATGGATTGTAAGACCACTGAAGAATGTAGGAAGTGTTATTATAGGAAAAGAGAATGAATGTCATGATTCAGTGGCCATCACTTCTGCCTTTGTATTCAGGATATTCTGGGCTTGATTTTCAATTTGGAGGCTATTCTGGCTGTCCAATATTTTCCTCAGTTCCTACAGGTGAATGCTGGGATAATGCCTTAATACAGGTTACAACTGCTTGCTCCCACATTCTTCTCAAGTACCTAATTACTCAGTCATTATCCCATTTGATTCTGTAAGATATATGTTGTTGAGATAGTGTTATTAAATAAACTAGAAAGTACACATAAACAATAGGAAAAAGCATGAATAATTTTTCACTCTACATACATTTTTGCTCAGTAGATCTGCCTGTACTTCTTTTTACAAAATCTTTAGAAAATGGATGCTCTGTTAAGCAAATATATGCAGATTAAACTAGAGAATCTCTTTGTGGAAGACACTGTAAGCCCTATACCTTTCATGCTGACTTGAGTGTTGGGTATTTAAATGTGTACAGGTTGTCAATAGCAATATAGAATGTATTTATATATCTTTGATTAAATATAAATATTTTTACTATCTTTCTGCAGGCAAAACGTTCATTGGTTCAGGAAAACCAGAAGAACGAAGATTCACCCTGCTGGAAGATGTGTTTAAAAATTTCCCAAAGGTTCCCATCAACATTGATATTAAAGTTGATAATGACTTACTAATTAAGGAAGTTTCCAAACTTATTACCAAATATAACCGTGAAGAATATACAGTGTGGGGAAATTTCAATGACATTGTTACCAGAAAGTGTTATGCTGAAGTAAGTATGTAAGATTTGAGGTTTTCACAGCGGTGAGTATGAAGACTTCAGTCTTCTGGGTTGTTGTGCTGTGTAGTCTGGTAGATGTTAACATCGACCAGACTACACAGCGCAACAACCCAGAAGACAGAAATCTTCTGCAGTAAGTATCTTAGAATGACAGGAAAATCTGGGAAGTACTTACAATGCATACTTTCCTTCAAATTATGAGGCTTACTGTAATACTAAAATACTGTAAATAATTATTCAATTCAGTGATTTATTTATTTGTATCATCTCCACTAAAACATTCTGACCATGTGAAATTGTTCATATATTACAAAATTTCTTACAGCTTTTGTTTGTGTGTTCATGATTTATATCAGTGCCAAATTTCATATGTATAGCTCCAGTGACTCATTACTTATTGCCATCAAAGATGAAACTAAATACAACCATGGATGTATTTTGGCTGTGGTTTTTGTAACCCTGGTATACATCAAGCTAATGAATGAGTCCCTACTGGCCATATATCTCATTTTAACAACTGTCTTGCTGTTGAGGGTATTATACTTTATTGTTTCATTTACTGGTTTTGCTGCTGGAAAACATGGACATGCAACATTGTTAAGGAACTTTATCCTGATTGTTTCAAAACATTCCTGTTACAAAATTAGAAAACCATACAGATATATTGTTTCTAAACAAAGTACTCAGGTCTGGACTTACTGTAAAGCAACATTTACAGGCATGGTGATGGTGCAGAACTTTGTCATTATGAGTATGGACTGGATTGAGCTGATTCAGGATAGGATTTAGTGGTGAACCTTTGTGAACATGATTGTTGGCGTTTGGGTTTCATGGAAGCAAGGAATTTCTTGACCAGAATAACTGTCAATATTTCAAGGAAGACCCTGTACCGTAGAGTTAGTTATTAGGTATTCCAGATGTGGTCACTAGAATTTGCTGAATTGGATACAGACACAACTCCACAAATAAACATTCCTGCCTATGGGCATAGTAATACAGAGACTAGTAGGCTGTATGGAAATGTTTGTATGAAGCACCTTGTGAGACTTTGAGTAAACAAATTTTCTTAAGTAACTAGTATTTCTGGACCCATGGATACTGATAAAACTTAAAAACCAAATTACCTTTACTCTGAGACCAGCCAAGTGCTAGATCAAGATGCTGATTTAGGAGTGATAGTATGATATGCTGCTTAGTCAGGGCTGTATCACATACCTCATGGGCCAATGATAGACAAGTATGGAGCAGTGGTGGAATAATGACTGAAATATTATGTCACTTATTTTCCCCCTGTAATATAGCTAGTTCATTTTTATTTTTCAGAACCCACGTGTCAATTTGCTCTTTTCCATGAGGCAAGTAGTGTATCTTGTGCTTCTAATGTACTCAGGACTCCTGCCATTTGTTCCATTAAAAGAAACACACCTGGAAGTGTTCTTGCCATCCATTTATATAAGGTATATGTAGTATCATGGTAGTAAGCAGTTACCAGATATTTAATTCAGCTTTTGTTTCTGTCACTGTAGCAGTGGAGTAACTGATTTCTAGTGTCATTATTTACAAAGTAGAAGGGAGCATGTCTTTGAACAATGCCATTGAATTAAGTGTTGTTGTTATTAGTAAAAACAAAAATGAAGTCTGTCTGTAATCTTGAAGAAAACCATGTCTATAAAAATAGAACAGTTAAAAATTACATGATAACCAAATTTGAACAGCTAATAATGGTTGAAAACTTGAGGTGTTAATGGTGCTGAAGATGCAGTTTTGTTCTGGGTAGTAATGTTGTATTTATTTCAACTGCCACCGTCTTCAGCTCCGAAGATGGAGACTGTGTGTTTCTTTGAAACATTGGTATCTACCTATGAGTCCACACAGTGCAACAGTGCAGGAGAACATCATCAGTCTAAATTAAATTGTTTTCAAGAATAGATAAAGCACAAATGATGTGTTTTGAAAATGAATGTGATTTTAAAGCTGTGATGTCACAGTGATTAGAGATTTAAACATCATGATTTCTGTATGACAGAATAAATATACTATGTTGTATTTCA